TGCTTAGGAACCGGGGACCCAGGAGTGCCCGCACCCTGAGCTCTCAGCTCCGGAGGCGGTGAGAGGGGCAAAGGGGAGATGTTTGGCGGGAAGGAGGTAGATTGGGGGGTCTGGTTTTGGAGAGGTCACGATCCTGAACCCGGGGGACAAATAGGGGAGCCTGAGGATCTAGACAGGTCCACCGTGTCAGGCCCCATGGGGTTTATGTCGGTGCATCCAGAGTCTGGACTGCGCTGCAGACGGAGTGGCTTCGTCCGCCCATTCCGCGCTGAACAGCAGTTTGGGAGTCCGATGGGGCCTGGGGATTAGGATGTAGCCTGCTTCCCGCCCAGCCGGCCGGGCCAGGCCAGCTCCTGCCCCTCCCTCCCTTGCTCTAGCTTCGGACTCGCCTCTGCAGGCGGTCTCCGGGCTCGCCTCAGCCCTGCCTCAGTTGCTCAGGCAGCGGGCAGCTGGTTACGTGTGCTCTCACACCCAGCCTACTGCGTCTGGGGAGAGTGGGATTGGTGGAAGCTTGCCCGGAGGAAAGGAGGAAGGAGCTGGGGGTGCAGAGGAATGATGTAGCCTACGTAAAGACCCCAATTAATTAAAAAAAAAAAAAATCCGTGTCAAACCCGACAGGGACACAAACACACCTTTAAGAAAAAAAGCCAACCACACAGTGACACACACCCATGTGACTTACACACATCCTCCCATACAAACCAAATCACAGCAAACCTGCACTACGCATCCACCCACCCACCACAACCCATTGCCTCCCGTGTGGAGTCTCCTTGACATCTAACAGGAATGTTGAGTAGTGGATGAAGGGGCCACTGTCCACAAATGCACCCAGATTTTATGGGCAGCTTTAGTAGACAATACCTCAAGGACTGGTGAGCCTGCGCTCTTACCTGGGTGAGGGGCTTCTTATGACCTTCCTTGCTGACTGCACATTTAGAGCATGGGGTACCTGGGAGTGGCTCGATTCTGGGCATCAGTGTGGCCAAAGGATGGAGGAGGGAGTGGAAGCAAGGGAGAGAGTGAAAGGAATGAGTCAGCCAAGGATGGAACCCAAGTTGGAGGGAGGGAGGGAGGGAGAGAGAGACACACACAGAGAGAGAAGAGAGACAGAGAGAGAAGAGAGAGAGAGAGAGAGAGAGAGAGAGAGAGAGAGAGAGAGAGTCAGAGACAGAGGAGAAAGGGACAGGGATCCATCCAGGTAACCAGAGAGAGGAGAGAGAGACGGGTGACCAGAGGAACCAGAAGGAAGGATGCTGGAGAGTAGGCTAAAGAGGACAGAAGTTAGGGAGGGTGAAGGAAGCAAGGAGGTAGAAGGAGCATGTGAACATTTGTGCCTTGTTTCTCTAGGTTATATGTCTGGCCCCCAGGCTGTATGAGTGATTAGTGTTAATTGCTCTTCCCTTTGCGGTTAAACACTCCAGTGGGGAAAGTGCCAGCATGCCCTCGGCTGCCAGCTTCTCTGGTTGCCTACTTCTTACATGCCACCTGTGCTCAGCAGGTGCCATCTACTTCATACATAAGGTCACAGACTGACACTACACCTCACACACAGCTTCACGTACAACGTCAGGTTAGCCATCTTCACCAGCTAGTCAGTAGCCAACCGTGTGTGTGTGTGTGTGTGTGTGCGTGTGCGTGTGCGTGTGCGTGTGCGTGTGTGTGTGTTTCCTTCCTGTCAAACTTTTTCAGTCGGGAAGCTCATCCCTTCCTTGTGGTGGCTCTGGGTATTTCGGTGGGGACACTGAGTCTCATGAAGGTCAGTGTATCCATGGCTACCAGCAAACGGGATGAGTGGATAGGAAGAGTGGAAGGTAAGAATGCCCATGAAAGAGTAAAGGAGGCTGAGGATTAGCTCAGTAGTTGAGTACTTGCCTAGCAAGCCCAAGGCCCTGGGCTTGGTCCTCCAAAGTGGGGTTAAGAAAGGTAGCTGAAAGAGGTAGAAAAAGAAACTAAAAAATGACTGAGGAGGAAGGTAAGGATGTGGACGTGACAAAGCTGAGAATAACAAACAGAGCCAGTCTAGGGAGAGTCACGGCGCCCAGTACCTGCTCACAGTCGTGAAACCCTCTTCTGCCCTGCCTAATCCAATGCCAGCTAGCTATCTTTGGCTGTCTCCATCTTGGGCTTGGTCCTTTCCAGTCCCAGGGGCAACCTGTTTTTCTTCGTAGATGCAGATTTTGGAGCCCTCCTGCCAGGCTGACCTTGGAACTGTAAAGCCCTCTTCTTTGTTACAGGAAGAGAGGCATGTGCGGTGAGATACCCAAAGCTGGTTAGGGGAAGAAGTCAGTTAAGATACTGGGAGGAATAAACTGCTCTTCAGCTTGCATTTGGGACCCAGACATCACTTACATTACAATAGCAACAGCCCTACTAGCTCCCCACCCCCCACCTGTTTCCCGTCGATTGCTTCCTCCAGCTCCCAACTTCAGACTGACTGACTTAAATGAATGCCAAGGAATCCCCTCCTGCCCATTAAAGGGACCTCAGGTCCCTGCATCTGTTACCGGGTGGCCCCTCCCCTCAGCCAGATAACAAATGTGGAGGAAGGGGTAAAATCTAATCCTCAGGCTTCCTTTTTAAGTTTCCTCTGTGGAACCCAATGTTGGGGAAAGGGGACAATCGACCACAGATTAGTGTCAATGCTCAGAAATTATTTTGGTACCGCCACCTCCAACCACAGGTGCCTATCCATTTGCTCGGCTTCTCTGAGCAACCAGCAGCTAGCTTGCTTACTTGTCTAAAGGCCCCTTTCCCCCCAGTGTCCTTAGTGGTCAAGGCTATGCCTAGAGCCAGCTGAGGTGGGGAGGAAGGAAGGAAGGAAGGAAGGAAGGTGTGAGGAAGCAGCGAGCAGAGCACAGATTGAGATGGGAGGGAAGGGAGCTGACTTCCTGGCAGCCTGGGATCCAGTTCCTGCCCTGGTATCCTGTCCTGAGAATGTGCCACCCCCAACCCCACCACTGCCCCCCTGGTGTTCCTGGGGCAGCCCTATGTGCTGCTCCACAGATGAGAATTTTTCAGAGCCAGGAAGGCAGGCTTCTGATAGGCCCTTACAGGTTGAAGGAGGCAAGCTCCGCCAAGCCCCACCGTAACCAGACTGACCAGCCAGGGATAATAGCTGATTAGTGAAACCTGAAAGTCATGTAGGGCAGATTCTGCCTATCTGTACCCTAAAAAAATGTCCCCTAACTACTCTACTCTGCCCTTGCCTCTGCCACACCTGGCTGTGGGCAAATCGTGACTTTAGATTCTCCTTCATTGCTCCCCCAAGAGCCCCTATTCTTTTTTTTTTTCTCCTGTCCCTTAGCCTTCTCCACACTCTTCCCATCGGTGGTGTCATTGTCCTGGTGACTGGCAGGGTGTGTGTGGGGTGCCCTGAACTAAGGTTGCTATGGTAACAGCTAAGTGGAGGCTGCAGCCTTGTGGACTCTGTGCTTAACTGCCCCCCCCCACTACCACCACACACACCAGCCACACACACTGAATTCCTCATGCGCAGTCTTTCCCAGGGCCAGCTCTCTTCTGTCACATTGTGGGTCCCCGTCACCCCTCTGAGTGCAAGACTGTTCTTAACATTTTCTTGCATACTCTCAACTGGCTCAAACACAAACATACGTCGCACATAAACTCATGGCTAGCGCTGCACATGCCTCCATTACCAGAGCATCTTCCACATACCTGTTCTCACCCAGGAAAACTCAGGTGCATGCATTGCGTACACTCGTGTACACACGTTTCCACTGGCCACTTTATATATTCCTACCCACATTCCTCTTTAGGGCCTCCTTGTATGTTTTACTCTTGGCAAGCTCCTACCCACTGCCCCCAACCTTTGTGGGTGTGTGTGTTACACACACTAATCCCTTCCCGCCTACCTCCCCGGTAGATCTGTGTTTTAGAACCAGAGCCCTAAATCTTAACTCCTCCCAGGATTCACACACAGTGCTACACACTCTCCTCCCACAGCAGCTCGTGTATTTACAAACTCTTCCTCCCTGTGAAATCAAGGCAGGGTGACCCCTTTTCCAATGAGGCCTTGGTCCCAGAGCCTCATTTGGGGCAGGGTCTTGTCTCCATCCTGCCCTCCCCCCCCCCCCCCCCCCCCCCCCCCACATCCCCTTTTCTGCACTAGGATTATCAGTGGAGGCGGGGCTGGGCTCCCGCTTGCTGCTGTGTGACCTAGATTTCAAGGCAGAGATGGTTCCTGGTGCTGACAGTCAGAGAGCATTGTCCCTGGCCCTGACTGGTAGGACCACCGCTGGGCCCTTCTGTCTGGTGGCACCTGGGTGTGCAAGTAAAAAATGTTTCTGACCAATTCTTCTGGAGGTCATGCTAGTCCTGCAGTCTGGCTTATTGTTTGTGTCACGGCGCCTACCATTGAAGAAGGTTTGTTTATTCTGGTCAAAGTTGGGGGCTGAGAACAGGGACTCATGGGTTCGGATGGATGCAGTGCCCATGGCTCTGCCTCAGTTCCCCTACAAGAGAGACTAGAAACAAGGAAAACAGGTTTTTCAACCTGCCCCCTTTGATCTGCCAGTTTCAGCTCAGTATTGGGTGATGCATGGGTAGCTTTGGTCAGGTTCAAGGCCATTCCATTTCCTGCCCACCTTTGGGTCTAGCCACAGACTGTTTATGATGTAGTTACTTTTTAATGCTTTAATTTTCCGAATACAAAAATATATACTTATTGCAGAAAAGAGTTCTTTATTTGAAACAAGGTTTTGCTATGTAGTCCAGGCTGACCTTAAACTTGCCAACAGTTCTCCTCCTTTAGACTCCTGTATGTTGGAACTACAGGTGTAAGTCACTGTGCTCAGTTAGGTCACTGATTTCAGCTTACCACTGGAGTTTCACATTTTATCAAATCATGAAGTTCATTCTAAGGTCTAACCTCTGTTTTTTCCTTAATGTACATTGGTGTTTTGCTTGCTTATATGTCTATGTGAGGGTGTTGGAGTCCTTGGAACAGGAGTTAGTTTGTGAGCTGCCACGTGGGTGCTAGAAATTGAGCCTAGGTCCTCTAGAAGAGCAGCCCGGGCCCATAAGCACCGGGCCATCTCCCAGCCCCAGGTCTGACCTTTCTATTTTAGCTATAGTTTCTACTTCAGTGAAGGGTGTCCTTGGACAAATGCTGTCCTCCCCGCCCAAGGATTAAGAGAGGCATTAAGTTAGACCTCTGTCAGGTCTAGCCTTGCCTGTGGGAGGCCAGGTTAAAGGTAGTATCAGAGGATGCTGATAAAAGGTTAGCATCTCCCTTCCTGCCAGACTCTGAAAGCTACATCTAAACTCCCCTCCCCCCATCACCCAGCCTGCCTGGGAACTGGGCAGGGGGCCAGAGCCAGCCGCTGCTTGGTATTCTTGGGCGCGGGGGCTGCAGGCACAGCACAAAGGCCTAGGAAAGAGGGCTGAGTTGGGGCCTAGTAAACTATCAAGGGAGAAAATGGGCTCCACAAAGGTGGGGGTGGCCCACTGCTCCCTGCTACCCTAAGACCTAATAATCTAATGCAGGGGGTAAGCATGGGAGGGACAGGGATCCATCAGACCACGTAACTAGGCATCCATCCAAAATGAGTCATTAATGGGGTGGTGGGAAGATGAAATGAGGGACCCCTTTGCTTCTGGTGAAGAATGGAAGAGAGAATACAGGGGCTTCAACCAAACCTTTTTAGCTTCTCACTGCTAAGCCAAGCCTGTGACAGGGGGAGGAGTTGTAGGTGGGTGGGGCAATTGGGGAGGGGGACTTGGAGACTGTAAGAAAGTCTGAAGAATGTTGCCATGGTAACCGCCTCCTCAGTCAGGGGAGCTGTTGCCAGGGTTACTGTTAAGGGAGGGAAAAAGAAAGATTGTGTGTATGGGGTGGGGGGGGGGGTAATGACTTGTACATCCATGGTGGCTCCTAGCTTTCCTGAGTTTCTTCTTGTGTGTCAGGGTTTTCCTTGGCTCCCTCCAGACCTGCCCTCTCTCCTAAACCTCCACATTTTAGGTACACACCACCCTAGCAGGACAAAGTGTGCGCTCCTGTGTGTGTTGTTGAGCATGGGGGTAAGGCGCAGATAAGTCTGGGCAGTAAGTGAACCAGACCCACACACTAAGCTCAGCTTACTACTCTCCCTTTATTACTCTCCCCTCCAGTCATGGCCGAGTACGGGACTCTCCTTCAGGACCTGACCAACAACATTACCCTTGAAGATCTGGAGCAGCTCAAGTCAGCCTGCAAGGAGGACATCCCCAGCGAGAAGAGTGAGGAGATCACTACAGGCAGTGCCTGGTTTAGCTTCCTGGAGAGCCACAACAAGCTGGACAAAGGTTGTGGAGGGGGCTCTGTTCATTCAGCAAACAGAAATGTACACAACCCTCTTACACAAAGTGACACCTGATGACAGGGCAGGGTAAATGATAAACTCTGAGAGACTACGGGGTTTCCAAGACAGTAGTCATTAGACATGCTTCATGTATGGCTTTTATTAGTATAAAAGGGTTTTCAATACCCTTGTGCTACCACTGTATATAACAGGACATGAAAACAATTTAAAGTGGTAAAACTTAAAACCATGATTCTAATGTTTTCTTACCTACTTTCAGAGGGAGGGAGACACTGGATTAGAACAGTAACTCGCAGCTGGGGCTTGCAGGGTGAAATGGTGTGTAAGACAGTCCCAACTGCTGGCAGAGTAGCAGGTTAAAGTACTTGCCATGCATACCTAATGAGGGCCCAGGGCTCAAAGTGAAAGAGGCAAACCAACTCCTCAAAGTTGTCCTCGAACCTTCATGCTCATACCCACACTCACACACCATGATGATGTTAGACTCCAAAGGCAAGTGGGATTCCTAAGGTAGAATCCAGAGGACCTGTTTAAGCAAAGGAATGCAGTGTAGCTTAGCAGGACTAAAAGGACTGGGTCTAATTACAGGTAGCTGAGAATGTCAATCTTGAGTTACATGTGTGTGAAAAGTAAAGTAACCTCAGAGTTACTTTGTATGAACTCTTCTAGCTATAGTGCAGCAGACAGTATGAGGAGAACTGAAGGAGGATCTACCACAACTCAGACTATTGCCACCACTGGGGCAGGGGGCTTATGGTCTGATGGCACATATAATCTTCTCAAACCACCCTGATTGTGTCAGAGCTTTCGCTCCCTTAGTACGTCACTTTTCTTACTGGGCTCAGAACCTCTTTGATTTGGCTATAATCTCGTCCTGTTGCACGTGTGGTGTCTGGGAATTCTTCCTCATACTCATGTGGAAGGAAAGTAGAAAAAGGACAGGGTCAATGTGGGGTAATTTTGAAGGCAGCTTTTCTATTGTCCCTTCTTCGGAGGATGGACTTGATATCCAGCCCAAAGTCTTTATTTTCCATTTATGCCCCAGAAAATTTCATCGCCTCCTGTCCTTCCTAGGATCAGTCCTTGAAACTGTTTGGCTGCCGCAAACTTTAGCCCCTTCTTTCACTGTTGTCCCCTTGGATAACCAACATAAACAACTCAGGGTTGGTTCAGGAATACCAGTTTGGCAGGGTAAAAGTTGCCCTCTCTAGCCTAGCTCTGACTCAAGCTGCCTTCCTCCAGACAACCTCTCCTACATTGAGCACATCTTTGAGATATCCCGCCGTCCTGACCTACTCACTATGGTGGTTGACTACAGAACCCGTGTGCTGAAGATCTCAGAGGAGGATGAGCTGGACACCAAGCTAACCCGTATCCCCAGTGCCAAGAAGTACAAAGGTAACTGTAACTGGCCATGCCTTGGGCATAGCTACATTTCTGCTTTTCCCCTCTGACTATATTCTTAAGAGTGGAGAATCGTCCTGAATTTGGGGAGTAGAGACTGATGCTCAGTGGGCCTGCCTAGCAGCCCTGGACACACCCCATCTTTGCTTTTTTCAGACATTATCCGGCAGCCCTCTGAGGAAGAAATCATCAAATTGGCTCCCCCACCAAAGAAGGCTTGAGCAAAGGGGAGGAAGAGGAGGAAGGTTGGATCTTCATCAGACCACTCCCTTCCCCATCCTCAATGGGAGGGGCTAGGGCAACCCCCTGCCCCGTACCCACTTACTAACTTGGTCCTAACCCCCTTACTATGCGCGTGTGTGTGCGTGTTCACACGCTCTGGCTGTCTGTCTGTCTAGCTCATCTAGTTCCTCCTCCTCGTGAGGGGACTGGAGTCGGGAGGGGGGGGCTTAATTTCCCCACTATAGGGGGAAGTGGAAGCTATTTCTATGTAAATAGAAATGGGCACATTCCTCCTTCTCCCCTCCCCTCCACTCTTCCCGCATTTTCCTACACTGAGGAGCTAAGGTTAAGATGAGGTATGGGAGAGATGGTGAGAGTTAAAACCAATGGGGAAGGAAGGTAAGAGGCTACTCAGCCTCTACCTGGAAGGGGAAAGAAAACCCAGAATTCAGGGTTTGTAGATCTATGCTGGACTGGCTAGAATCCAGTTTCTTGTTATTCCTTAGGCTGAAGTCCTAAGAGCCAATAGGCCCTCTTTTATGCCCTTGTCATGGGCCTGGGATGGGTATGAGCCAGAAATCTTAATGAGAAGACCACTAGAGCCTTTCCTGGCCCCCAAAATCAAACCCCATGGAGAAGCCAGCATTTGATGTCCCCAACTTCTGCTCTGGAGAGACTATGCTGGGACCATGTACTACTGAGCCTGAGATAGGGATGCAGGTGGAGACAGGCCCAACTTCTACTCCTTTATTCCTAAATACAGACTGTTGAATATACTGACCCTGAGCCTAAGGAGGTTTGGGGGAATGAGATCTATAGGTTTTAACCTCAACCTGCCCATACCTACAGGGTCCCAATATGGATATTGTAGGTAACCTTCACACCAGTCTCCAGTTTAGAATACCCCAAGCAAGAAAGAAGTTAATCATAGTGGTTTCCTTTGCACCTATTACCACCCCAGTTCAATCCAGGAAGGGACTTGGTTAACCTTTCTCATTTGGGTTTGTGGATGCCTCCAAGCCAAGTCACTAGAGTACAGTGAGTGAACCCAGCCTCCTACCTGTCCCAAGATGCCCTTCCCCATCTTGACCGTGCTAACTGTGTGTACATATATATTCTACATATATGTATATTAAACCCGCACTGCCATGTCTGCCCTTTTTTTGTGGTTTTTAGCATTAACTTATTGTCTAGGCCAGAGCAGGAGTGGGAAGGGAATGCCACAGTGAAGGGAGTGGCAGAGCAAAATTGTTACATAGTCCAAACAGCATTGAAATCAACCACAGCAAACATTAAATTTACATGCAAGCTCAGAGACTTTTTAGAGGAAGCTTGAAGGTAGGAGCTTCTAGGGTGTGGGAGCAAAGCTCCACGGGGGGTGGGGAGTGGGGGGGCAGGCTGTCAGAAGAGGGAAGAAGCCAGACTGGCTAGCGTACCCCCAACTCCTAGCCCAGCCCAGTCTGCCCATCCCCCTGGCCACTGCTGCAGACACCTGCCTTAACACACACACCTCCAAGACTCCAGTTTTGCCTTAAAGGTCCTTCCTGAGACTCCCTAATTCTGTCTGGCTTTTCCTTTAAGAAAGGGGATACTTGTACGACTGGGAGAAAGGAAATCAGTATAAAACATCCTTCCATCTGGGATGGTGCATGAGAACAAGAGTGAGATGGAGCTTTCCTTATGGAGGAAACACGAGAGGAGAGAGGGTGCTTTTCAGCAATTTCTCTGTAAGGAAACAAACAAACAAACAAACAAACACTTTTAAAAAGACTAACCTGCCCTAATAGACTGACCTACCCTGCTACCTTTGTGCTGCTATGAGGTTGCCCCTAGTCCATGCTCCTCTGTCTGCAGCATGCATAGCCTTGTTCTAACCCTGGAATAAAGGTGACTGACTGTGCTGTACCTGACTGATTCTAGAATTCTGTGAGTCATTAAGAGTTGGGGAACCTCTGAATGACTGGGAGGGGATGTGTAGCCATGCCTTCCCTATTATAATTCACTTCTGTATAAAACATGGGCCTGGAAAACACCCCCAAATAACATGCCCCGCCACCTCTAAGTATCCCAGACCAGACTTTAGCAGAATCAAGTATTTATACTGGAAGGAACAAAAGTACTCTGTCACAAATAAATGGACCACATACCACACAAGCAGCAGTCGGGGGGGAAAAGCTTTACTGAGAAAAAATACAACAAATTCCAGAGTGCATGGTTTTAAGCCCACCTCATAATCCCCCTAGCAGTGCGACTACTCGCTTACTTCACTCCCTGCCTCAAGAAGGAAGGAAGTACACAACTGGCATCTGGTCTGAGCTGCTAGGAAGGGGTCAGGAGGAAGAAGTGTGTAGGAATACCACCCTCTGCTCTTTCCCCCTTCTTCTTGGCCCAGAGTGGTCAAATCAAAACGTCCCAGGATGCAGGATTCCTGATTGAATCTTGTGAAAACCAGGGGGAGAGAAATAGCAGCAAAAGCATTTAGGGCAAGAATTCAACAGGGACTTTCATACTTGGGTGTCTAAGCCCCAGTCACCAGAATAAATCTTCCAATTACTGGCTTGTCCCTCAATTCCCAGGAAGTTTTCCCTTCATCCTTCCAGTAGGAAAGGAGCTGGTATGGAGTTGAATGGCTTAAAGAATCAAGCAGCTAAAGGCCAGGGGTTGAGTGTGCTTTCTGTCATAGCAGAACCAGGGTAAGGTCTGCAGCGATGGTGCCCTTCCTGAAGTCACAGGCCAGTCATGTTTTAAAGACAGGCCAGCCTCCAATAAGAGGAGCAATCTTGGGATCCTCCATAAGACTTAAGGGAATTAGAAGACCTGAGGCAAAGTTGAAAGGAATTTTCTGTTTTTCCAAACCTCTGCACCAAGGCAGAGAAAGAAGGGCACAGCCAAATATCCTTCCGTTTTTGACCTTATAAAACCTAAAGGTAGGCCCCAGGCTCTGACAGCCATATATAAATGGCAAGCTGACCCCACATGTCACCTCTGCATCATCAGTCTCGCTCATTCTTCCTTTAAGTCCCTTTATTGCATTGTATTCATAGAGAATATATAGGTATTTAAACTTTCGACAATAATTTTAACTTGATACATCCAAGTTTAACTTGCTTTTTTAATATATTTATAGATATAAAATTAGGCCTCTAACAGTGATAGGGACAGGGAAATTGTTGCCACCAAACAATTAAAAACAAAAACACAGAGGTAACTTCTTCCTGTTCTTCCACCTCTTGCCCCCTCCCCACTTCTCCACAGCCTCCGTCACAGCCCCCCACTTAGAGAGTGACGGGGTGGAGAGAGATATGGAGGGTATGTAATCAAGTGTAAACCCTGTGAGAAGTACAGAGAATAGTGCAGTGACGGAAGAGAAAAGTACTGGGATGGTCAGGGACTCTTAAGGATTTCCCAGAAAAACAAGGTCCTGGGATGTGGTTGCTCAGGGGCAAAAAAACAATGGAACTGTCAGATTTCTTAAAAAAGGGGAGAAAAAAAAAAAAAAAAAAGAAAAAAAAAAAAGGGGGAAAAAAAGGTGAAAACCCTAAACCAAAGAGAGTGGCATTCCTACCCTCTTCTCTGGCCCCTTGGTACTGAACAGCCAGTCCTTCCCCCACCCCCCACAAAAGAAACAAGGGAGGTTAAAGAAAAATAAGCCCCATTTCCTATCCGAGCCTGTTAACCAAAGGCTTCAGGGAGAGGCCCACTTCTGCTGCATCCTTTGCGCCTTTCCATGGAAGCTCATGCCGTCTCTCACCCCTGGGGCTCTGCTGGCTCAATCCCCTGTGGTCTGTCCTTCTCAGACGTGTCTCTTTTATTCAAACAAAGTCCAAAGTGCATCTCTGATGAATGTAAGGGCCTGGGGCCAAAAAAGAGCTGCCCAGGCAGCACTGGGTTGGCAGCCCCAGCCCATCCCTAAGTTTGGGGCCTCAGGACGGCATGCACTGCACCCGGTCAGGGCCCTCCTCCTCGTCGGAAGTATCTGAGGAACTGGGAGACTCATCAGAGTCCGCATCTGTGGCCCCAACCCCAGGTTCTCGCCAGCGCTGTAGGATGGGAAATCCTTGTTAGTAATGTCCCTGGATCAAGGACAAGACATTTGATCTAGAATGGATCCATGATCAGCAGAATTTTTTTTTTTTTTTTTTTAAATGAAGTAACCTAAGGTGACCTGTTACTTACTCCCAATCAGCCTACCTTGGCCTCCGCTGTAGCTAGAATTACAGGTGCTTGCTACTGTACCTGGCTCAGACTGTGAATTTCTGTGGGCATAAGGTCTCTGTTAGAACTGTTCAGCTCTGTTTCTGTACCTTGAAAGCAGCCACAGATAATACAGAGAATAAGTGTGGCTCCATTTTCAATAAAATTTGTTTGCTGACCCCTGCTCTCAACCTCTTTTAGCATGAAAGTTAATACAGGTCAGCCAGAGCAATTATTTCTTCTCTACTCCCCCCCACTCCCTCCTGCTACTGCAACTGTAAAGATAACCCACCCTTTGGAGGGATATATGGTGACAGAGAGAACACAACCACACACGACCTCCTTTCTACCGGTTGCTCTACTAGGGATAAAGGCCAGTGGATGAGATACCCAACCAACGCCACTCCATTCCTCTTTAAGTAGTAAGGAAGTGGTGTGAAACCACTTCTTTAAAGGCATGTGGTCCTTGGGAACTCACTTCCAACTGAAACTTACCCGATGATGGCGTCTCTGTCTCAGGTGATGCATAAGGAACCAAAGCATGTGGCTATCAAACAGGTCCGTGTGATGCAAGCTGTCTTCATCCCGTTCTCGCTTGTTCTTCTTAATCACCTGGAACCCAGTTACAAGAAGGGATACTAATGAATAGAAACCCTGGGCTTGACCAACAAGACTGGTGTTTGCATAGGACTATAACCCAGCACTGGAAGATACGGATAGGAGGATCACAATTTCAAGGCCAGCCTGAGCTACATATTAGAAGCTTGTCTCTGAAAACCAAGGGCTAGCTAGATTGTAGTTCATGGTAGGGCATGTGCAAGGCCCTGGCTACAATCCCCGACTCTGTGGGAAAAAGCAGACTTCGTCTTTCATCCCAATAAAACATTCCTTCAGATACCATTCAGCTTATGTAGAGCTAGTTAGATGTCCCTTGTTGGTCACTGAGAAAGGTAGACACTTTTAACATGCTGCTCTCTGGCTCAGGACTGTCCCCATAAAGGGAAAGTAGAGGAGGTGTTAGAGCAGTGCTTTTCATGAACTGTGCTAGTCCTTCTTATGGCAGTGAAGAATGGCACCCTCACACCCATTTGCTTCTATAAGGGAATGCCGTCAGCCAGTCACTTACATCCTTTAACCCTGTCAGCTCAGTGGAAGCTTCAGCTGTGGGTGCCCAGATCTTCACATCATGGTCCAGCCCACTGGTTGCCAAAACAGGTAGGTGAGGATGGGGTTCAAGACAGTTCACCTGGTTTAGGAGGAAAGAAAGCAGAGGCTTAGGAGTACTTGGGAATAGAGTTTACTCTGGTGGCCTTGAGCCAAAAACTTGCCCTTGACCTGGGCTGAATGAAGCAGGACCACCAAGCCTAGACCAAATAGCTCTGGCAGTAGAGGAGATACAAACTGGATACAAAAGTCAGCCTTTCTATCATTTCCAATATGTAGATAAGGAGAGGCTGCATCCCTAGACATAGCCCCAGGAGCGGGTGAATGATAGATAGGCCATGCATATTGCAGCTTCACAAGACAATGAGGCACAGAATCTAAAGCTCCAACTTGCCCAAGACTGGAAAAAACATCTCTCAGTGATTTTCATCAATTGACAACAATTAAAAAAAATTTGAAAAGCAGCAGCTGCCCCTGCACTTCAGAGAAAATGGAGAACAATTATATCCACTTGGTGCTGTTTACTAACTGGAGGATGTGTTCGAGGCTGAGAAGGTAACAGAGGTTTGTGTGTATTTAAGAGCACCCTGTCACAGAGGGCAACATCCTGCTATCTGCCCTAAGGGCATAGTAAACTTGGCTGCAGGGAAGCCCGATATAGCCATGCAGTTTCTCCACCGAATCAGTTTCCCTCATTCACCCAACAGGAGAAAATCCAGTGGAGCGACAGCAGACATTTGGTCTCAGAGAGTTTCCTTTTGTCTAAAAGCACCCATGCCCTCTGCTGTCTGACTAGAAAACAAGGAGCTCCCTTAACGGGGCAAGGCAAGGCAGGGCAGGGCAGGGCAGGGCAGTTCCCATCCCCCCACCGGAAGAGCCAGTCTCAGATCTAGCTGCTAAAGCATTTTTAGACTTTTAGTCAGATGAGGAACAGATAGGAAAACCACCCCGCCTTGCTTCTGCTCTATAGTCCAAGAAAATAAACCCTGGCCTGGCAAAAGCCTCTCCTAGTTCTCCCTCTGGACCAACCTTGGCTGCTGTGCCTGCACACTCAGACCACAGCTGAGGGAAAGGAAAGGCAGGCACAGAGAATAAAGATGAATTCATTTTCTTTAACTTTGAGTTTACAAATAAAATAGGCTCAGAAGGCCAAATCTAAATCTGAGCCTAAGAATAACACAGAAAGCCCAATTCTCTTCTGCTTTGATTTCACACATCAGCTCACTGCAGTTTCTTTTAGGCTGTGTACTGTGGAGTCTGAGGAAGCACTAGAGAACAAACTGGAATACAAAAATGTTATCAACAGCAGCTGATGACTTACAGTGCAAACCTGACCTCACTTATCTTTCTCCTCATGAAATCTTGCTAAAGTGTACTCTTGAGCTTACAACAAGTGAACAAAAAAAAAAAAAAAAAACTTAAAGGGACAATTCCTTGGGACTTAGGCCTAAGGACAGAGCCAACGACAAAAGGACAACAGAATAAATTATATACAATACCAGAGTTGGAGCTAACAGAGAGCTTCTGGGCCAGGGGACCTCACCAGACCTGTCTGAATGCCAGGACCTACCTGTCAATAATGCTGGAGCAGAGAAAAGAACTCTGGCCTTAGAAGACTGTGTGTACATGCTTGTGCTTGTACGCATGGCGGGCCTAAAGTGCTCTTGGGAGACTAAGGACTTGTTCCTTGACATCATCTCCCACTCTTGGTCCTGGGAAGTTGAATGGGAACAAAGAAAGGATCCCAAAACAAAAACTAGGAGACCTGGGCCTGGGCCAGGTGGGCAATTACGTCTAAGATCCTTCTGATGCTAACATTCTACTTTATAACACAGAATGCTTCATCGTCTATACTGAGGCTGGAACCTGGTGACCTCTATTGCTGAAAGGTTGTAACAAAAACCAAAACTATCACAGAGGGAACCAGGTAAGAACAACATGGATCATTTGACTCACGTAAAGGTAAGAAGAAGTAAAGAAACTGTTGGGGGTGTGTGGGGGAGAGACAGCCACTACATCTCTTAGAATCACAACAACTCTGGCTGGGGCCCACCCATCCTAAGAAGATACTCTTCCTCTTGAGCACTGGATTAATCAAAAATCCTGGTACTGGCTGAGCTGAAAGCAAATTGGCCAGCAGAATGCTTCTGGAGAACCAACAAGGGCTGGGAGAGGACATTCATGCCTACATCTTTCTGGGACAGAGTGCAAGACAATAGTTTATGATCAAGAAAGGACTCACTGGCCCTTTTTGACTCACTGTGTGCCTACTGTATACTTGTCTATAAGATTCCAATGTTTGTACTTGTAAACTACAGGTGACAAAGGAAAGGAAATAGTAGAGAAGAGGAAGACACATCTTGAACTTATAGACTCCTCTCCTCTTACATTCAGGGTACAGAAGCTTTATGTGCCCTACGTCCAAGTTTTAGAGGAAACCAGAATAAGATTCAAAATACCCTGATAAGCAGACCAGAAAACGGCAAGAAGCCCCTCTCTAGTGAGCATTATTAAGTCACAGCTGGCCTCTGAGTTCCCCGCAGCTCGGGAAAATGAAAAGGATGAGAGCCAGAGCAGTTCTAATCATGCCTTACAAGATGTAGGTAGCCAAAGCATTTTGGGTAATCTTTCAAACTGTCTCTTTCCTTTCTTCAGTGGCTCAAAAACCTTGTTATAAAAAACTATTTAACTCTTTCCTAATGCTGGATCTTAAAAAAGGAAAAAAAAATATGGTAAGCTAAATAAATACATCATGAGCACTGACCATTCTTCACTAACTTGATTTTCATGATTCTTTCTTGAGCCATTAGCACAGAGGATGCTTGCAAAACTCTAAGGACAGGCACACAATGATATGAGCATATTATCTAAACAAGCTGTTCACCTGTTCTTTTCAAGAAAAATATGTATTTTATTACATTTGCTTTCCTTTCTACATATATATACAGGTACATTATGTGTATCTGTATCCATTTGACATTAGACATGGCACTTTATCCCTAAATACGGCACCTAAATAGTACATCAAACAAATTCAATATTGAATGCCATGTTACATAACTTACAAACCATACTTATTTCCCCTAATATTCAAAAAATGTTTCTTCTAAAGTAAATAAAAAAATAAATGTGCGTCTAACTTTTCTCTGCTGATCCAGGAATCAGCCAAGGTCCTGCTTGGCTTACTTAGAGCCAAGGCAGGAGGTATCTTGTTTTGATGCTGTACAGGAAGGTTTGTCCTGAAACAGTGTTTTCTTTTCTTTTTTTTTTTGAAAAAGCCCATGCCTAAGAAGTTTCTTCTTTTCAATAAACTATACCTTGAAAGGGCAGAAGAAAGGAATATTAGGAAGTATTCCATCAAAACCTCAGCACTCCTTAAGGCATAACACCTTCAATTTAGCTGTATGGAACACATTTTAAATCAGTGGCCCATGTAAGACCCACCTTACTGACTTAAGAAACTAGGGGTCAGCCAGTCCAGCACCCCATACTCACCACACCTCCTTTGTCCCCCTCCATGAACTGAATGATTTGGCAAGATGACTTCTCCCAGAGGAAGATGTGCCCACAGTCACTACCGCTCACCACAAACTCACTCTTGGGGCCATAGAAATTGACGCCTTTTACTGAAATGATGAGAGAAGAAACCACATAAGTGTTGGCACCTGGCCTATATTTATTTACCTCACAAACTGAGTCAGCTGAATGCCAAATAGTTCTTTTCATTTCTACAAGAGATTGTGTATATGATAGATAATTATAAGAGCCACCCCAGTCCCTGAGACTACATTCTCCCGAAGAGCTTTATCAGGAGTCTACTTTTCCTGGGCTACCGTCTGCTTCAGTTATACTTTATAATGATCTGTTCCAACATGATTCATTTCAACTCTGCCCATTCCTGGGCCCTAGGATTATTCTTGGTATATATCTTATTGGTACCTAGTTGGTCTGAGACTGACAAAGGTAGATGGCACAGTCACCTGTAAGAAGCATCACTGCCAGAATTCAGGAAAAGGGCTCAAATCTTGAGAATTTGTGAAAGACAGGAGTCCAACTATTAGAACCAGTTCCACATACCAGCCACAATACTGACAATACTTTTCCTTTTGCTTGCCCATATAATGAAATCCAAACACAGAACTCTGCCCCTCTTTCCTTCTTACCAGTCAAGAGGAAAAGTAAAAGTTACTACTGCCTCCAAATCAAATGACGACACACGGCTGAGAGGAATGGCACCAACCAAGTGCAGTTAATTCTCTACATTCTCTAGATTAGACCTGTCAGGACACTTAAAAGCCCAATGCTCCAAGACATCGAATGTGTGTGGGGAGAAAGGCATCAGCAAATGCTCTCTTATTAAAAGACTGAGGTGAGCCCAGTGAGCTCCAATGTTTGGGAACCACTGACATAGAACTAAAAAGCCAAACTTCACTGGAAACTTGGGCTAGATACCACCATTATTCCCCCTACTACGCTTTATTCAAAGGAATCATTCCCTTCTCTCCCTCTTACACACATTATATGTGATTACGCACTACGGTTTTACCTAATTTTCTAAAAGGAAATCTGTGCCTACTCTACAGTATCTGAAATCACAGAAAGTCAAGTCTATCTTCATGCTTAACCCAACTGGAGGCAACATCACTGCAGTGAAGACGCTAATGAGCCCTCCCTGTATCATATTGGAGAAAAGAAAATCTCAGCCTGACTAGTAATAATCTCATAATGCTCAAGTTGACACAGGCAGCCTGCTTCTTAGGTAGTTCCCACCTACAAAATGGGAATAAGATAATGTAGGTTTTCAACGTGACTTGAGTCACAGAAACAGAGACAAGCAGACTCACCTGTAGCATTATTTCTATGACCTTTGTATCTCTTAATATACTGGGCCCCATCACTGTGAGAAGAGTTGAAAAGGTAAATGTCTTCATCATTGTAACTGGCCAGGAGCTCTGCCAAGAACAAGAACACAACAGTGAAGGCAAAGGCTGAAAAATGCAGAGACCAGGAGATTTGGGGGTATGGGGGTTGTCTAGGATGGGGCTTCTTGCTGGTAGTGAATCCTCTTAGCACCCACATAAAGCACCCATCTTACTTGTTTGGAACAGCAGGCAAATAAGATTACATAGGATCTACAATGAACACATTACCAGCCCAGGGGTAGTAGAACACTCAGGAGATCACACCCTCTAACTTACTAAGTAATCAAAGGCGGTAGAACTTGCTTAGGCTAGTGGTTTAGTTTCAAGACAAGCCTGTGAAATGTCATCTGAAGCCTGTCCACAGGTCATCTGCTACATCCTCCCACTGCATGCTTACCGTCAGTAACTATTCCCAGCTGTTGCACTTGGAGCTACAGAACAGTGTTGAACACTGGAGGGCACATGCCTCACTGGCTCAGCAGCTCCCTAGACAGAGGAGGCATGCCAGCCTAGGAGCTGGCCCTGCTCACGTACCTGTGCCGTCGTGGCTGTACACAAGACAGGTGATGTTTGCTTTGGACTCACTGTTCACCTGCAATAAGGAGCAGATACTGACTGATGCCCCCACCCCCACCCCATTTGTTATATCAACTTCAGGAACAGGTTTTTCTAGAAACTTTTCTCTATCTTTTCCCAGAGACAAAAAGACAAGAGATAAATAGAAAGAGGTAGAAGGAGGGGTGAGAGTGAGTTATATAACTGAGGAAACATGTCCACCTCAAGAAGCAGAGTCTTAGTGAGGCCCTCTCCTGGCTCTCTTCTGTGTGCTAGCCATTTCAGATGCATTATCTCATTAGGCCTCCACTTTGTTGTTGAGAGCACCAGGGCTAGAATAGGTCAACGGGCTGCCCGAGATCACGAAACTTGTGAGAAAATCAGGGTTAAAATCTGTCTGACTTCAAACTCCAAACTCTTCACATTATGCCAAAAAGTTTGGAGGCAGCATAGGATGAAGTCATGGAAGCCAGGAGCCCCTGGTCCTTCATGAATCTTACCAAGTGATGAGGACAGAATTTCTTCAGCACTCCATTGTTCTCATTCTCATCAATTTTCCTCTGGTCATAAATCCTTTAATGAAAGATGCAAAATTTACAAAGTGATCCCTTGCAGAGTTGTAAGACACAGGCTCTTTCCTAATGAAGCTTTTGCTTTGTTCTCTTCAGGAAAGCTGTTCCCCTCTCTAATCCATCTCCAAACTTTGCCTTATCCAGGTATTTCTCATAAAGCAGTAATACTCCGTTATATCCATTGGAGTGGCTAAACTCAAGTTTTATGTCACTTACTGTTTATTTTAGTGGTGGTAAGTTTCATGTATGTGAAAGCCAAAGGACAACCTTGAGTGTCCAAATCCTTTACAACCCCTCCTATCTCTGCCTCTCCAGTACTGGGACTGCAAGTAAGGACCATCCCATCTCACATTTTATGAACTGAACTACCCATCTCTCAAGCCCCACTTATGGCTTATTTTCACTGAAGCAGTTAATACCATACTTTTTCTATCTATGTGGCTTATCCCAAAGCATTTATTACTCTATGGGCTGAGGAGGTCTTAAGTCCTTTGAAGTTTCTTTAAAAAAAAAAAAATATATATTTATTTATCATGTATACAGTGCGTGCCAGAAGAGGGCACCAGATCACATCACAGATGGTTGTGAGCCACCATGTAGTTGCTGGGAATTGAACTCAGAAACTCTGGAAGAACAGTCAGTGCTCTTAACCCCTGAGCCATCTCTCCAGCCCCCCTCTGAAGTTTTTTTTAAGATCTATTTTTATTTATGTGTATGAGGGTTTTGACTGTGTGTATGTATATACATCCCATGTATGAGTGCAGTGCTGCAAGGAATAGAACAGTTGCCAGACCCCAGAGAACTGGAGTTACCGATGGTTGTGAGCTGCCATGTGGGTGCAGATCCTCTGAAAGAACAGCAAGTGTTCACACTTGCGGAACCATTTCTTTATCCCTCCTTCCTTGAACTTCTATTTAGCTAGTTCTCCTTCTCATGGGCCACAAAAACTATCCCCAAACCACCATCTTTAAGTCACCTGTAGTCAACTACTCAAAATGTTGAATGAAAAAGTCCAGAAGAAAACCAATTCACTAGTTTTAATAACAAAACAAAACTCAGCACCTTTAGGGTTTCTTACTATTGACAAGTTCAAAGCTAACACCAGAGAATACATCCCTTATAGATTAGGGGAAATGACTGCATTTTCTTTTGATGAGGAAATTCTATTGCCACACTTTGACTACCACTAGCTCCCTATATCTGGAAATATGTTTTAAACCTGTGTCTCTTACTCTGAGTTCCAGACGTAACATCTACCAACATCTACTTAACAGCAGATGTTATAATAGGTGGTCAAAAGGAAACTCATTTTCCTTCCAAAACTTTCTAAACCTATCACTCCCCCTCAATCTGTTAATGACACTGTCCTTAACACAAATGACCAAGTCTCTTACTTGGTTGTGCTCTCTCTGGAGCTCATTCTTCCCCCCCTCCCCATTTAAAACTTATTTTTATTAAATCTTTCTTAATTTCATAAATGAATTTGATGTGTTTTTTTAAAATCATATTCTTCTCCCACTCCTCCCCAGGTCTTTTCTCTTGTACAAATGATTTACTTCTTGTCAGTTCTTCTCCTGGGTAGACTGTTTTGGTTATATCTGCTTTTCCCACTTACCTCCATCATATTTTGCTTACATTACTGTTGATATTCCTTCTGATTTTTCTGCTCATGTTGCCGTTAGAATTTTATTCAGAATGCCAAACTTTATGTAAGTTCTCTATTTAAATTTCCTCAGTAATTTCTGAACACTTTTCTGGAAAACTCAAACTTCTTAGAATAAATAGCTACCTACAGCCTCCTCAAGACCCTAAACATTATACCCAAACCTAACTATGACTTTCTCAAGATCCTGTACATTACTCCCAAACAAACCAAAGACCACAAGAACCACCTGTGGTCACGCTAGATACAGTAGCAGCCCACACTCGCTATCCTAGCAGGAGTTAAGAGTTTAAGGCCAGCCACAGCTACACAGAATACAAGGCTAGCCTGAGCTATGTAAGACACTGTCTCCAAAAAAAAAAAAAAAAAAAAAAAAAAAAAAAAAAAAAAAAAAAAAAAAAAGGGAGTAAAGCCTTTTCCATGTATCCTGCAACATACACTGTCACAACTTAGTATTACCATATCTCTACCTATATTGTTCTTTTTACCTAAATTTGCCCAAATGTCTTTCATTCTTTCTGTATGCAAATAAAAACCACAACAAAGTGAGTTAGTTTCCAGTATATTTTAGTTATTACCTACTTACTCAAATAATACTGGATATAAGCTCCACGTACCTTACATATTTTCTTACACAGTAGATGCTAATAAATGAATCCATGTATCCTTGGTAATATATCTAAACATTTGGTATAAAGCAAATACCCCAGAAATGTTTACTAAATGAAGCCACAAGCACCAATACAGCAAAATGGCTATATTACTCCTAAGTAAATTTATCAACTATCATTTTTTTCCTCTCTTAACTAAGTTTAAATCAACAACTCTTAAAAAAAAAAAAAAAGGTAAGTTAACAGAGCTCAAATGTCCCTAACCCATTAAAAAATTCAGTAAATAGTCAGGCATGATTACACATATCTTTAATCCCAATACTCAGGAGGCAAAGGCAGGTAGATCACTCCAGCCAGAGCTACAGTGAAACTCTGTCTCAAACAAACACACACACCAAAATTAGTAAAAAGTGCTAAATATTCAAGGTCTGTGGGATGCTCTGTGGCAAATTCATCAGCACCCAATATTCTAGTTGTCTTTTTTTTCTTTTTTTTTTGGGGGGGGGCGGTTTCTCTATGTAGCAATCCTGGCTGTCCTGGAACTCACAGAGATCCACCTGCCTCTGCCTCCCAAGTGCTGGTATTAAAGACGTGCACCACCACTCCATTGTTTTTGTTTGTTTTGGCTTTAGGTCAAAAAGTATGTTTCTTTAAACCTTCCTTTAAATGCTTTTTCACAACCCTAAACTAAAATTCAGCAACAATTATGTGAAGTCTTGAGGTTGACTAGGCCATCTTTCTGTACTCCTTGTTTCTTTCTTGAAAGAAAATTGCAGTTGTAAAAAGCTATGGTGTCATTATACACAGTATGTTACAAATGTTTTCAAATTTGTACCAGAAAATATCAGAGCAGACCAGGGTGCTGAAAGGATTCTCTACTCATGTAGAATCAGTGTGGCTCAAAACCTGTATGTACTACTGACAAGTAAACAACCTACTGTGTAGAAACCGGTGCACAAAGGTACTGAAAACACTGACGCCAATAAAAGATGAGTATTTTATTCCTCTCTTTGCTGAAATGCTAAAACAATCCTCAGCCCCATTTTAGTCCTGGGAAATTATAAGCTGTGGAATAGGGTACTGAAACTCTATTAAGATTTTTGGAGTAAGTCAATACTGCCAACTCATCCTTTCCTCTTTAAAACACTTTGGTCCTAGTGTTTAAATTTTCCATAACTTTTAAAGCAATCTAATTCTCCAAGAGAAAAAAAAATTTCAACTAGAAGTTCAGTGATGTTTCAGTTCAACCCATGACAACATACCTTCTTGATCAACAGCATCTTATATTAAAAATAGGGGGCTGGAGATATGGGCCAGCAGCTAAGAGCACCTCTTGCAGAGGACACAGGTTCAATTCCCAGAACCCCATTGTGGCTCACAACCACCCATAACTTACTTCTAGGGAATCCAAAGCCCTCTTCTAACCTCTGTGGGCACCAGGCACACCATGATGTACACACAAAATAAATACATAAAATAATGCTATACATTTAACTGACTATACATTTAAGAGACAAATTTTAAAGAGAGTACCAAATTATCCAGAACTCTTGAACAAAGTAAATCTCTATTTTCTGAAAGCTTACCTCATAATTCTAATACAAGTAATTTCAAAATAATTTTTAAAATGTGTTTTCATTTGAAAAGATGTCCCCTTTCAACTACCAGCAGAACAGAAAAACAAAACACCATTTTTCTAATTATGCTGTCCCTCCCTTTTCAAACTGACAATCCCAAAGAAATGTAGTTAAAATACAGCAGCTGGCTAGCTAGGGAATAAGGGTCGGAAGGAAAACAACTGGTACAATGGGGATTGAAAGAATGATGTCTGTTTTCCCTTAGGATGTGACTGAATAGCCAGTGTTAAAAACAGATGTTCACAGTAACAAAGATATTACTACAGATAAAGAAAAGTAGTCCAGGACAACAGAAACAAAAATCCTCAGTTACAGAGTGTTCTCAAGCCAAATTTTTCTAAATCTAACCAGTGCTCAACACTGGTAGTGTAGAGTTGTCCAGATGATTAACTGGCTAGACACACTTGCTGCTCCATGATGCAAGCCTCACAACCTGAGCTTGATTGTTTGATTTGTGTAAAGGACACAACACAATGAATCCACAAAGTTGTCTTACGACTTCCACACGCATGTTAAACATGCCCTATGGCAAACACACCTCATATATACATCATACTTACACAGATAATACTAAAATTAAATATAAAAATTATTTGAAAAGATTGCTAGTACAATGTTCACTTATAGAAAAATAGTGGAAAACACATACGGATTTATGTCTTAAAACCACTATGTGGGACAAATTTATCATTTTTTTTAAAGATTTTATTTACTTATGTATACACCATTCTGCTTCCATGTATATCTGTACACCAGAAGAGGGCACCAGATCTCATTACAGATGGTTGTGAGCCACCATGTGGTTGCTGGGAATTGAACTCAGGACCTCTGGAAGAGCAGTCAGTGCTCTTAACCTCTGAGCCATCTCTCCAGCCCCCAAATTTATCATTCTTTAAAATGTGATAATCCCAGGACTGAAAATATGGCATAGAGGTTAAGAGGATCAGGATCAATTCTCAGTACCAATATGGTGCCAGCAACCACCTCTAACTCCAGAAGATTTAACATTCTCCTCTGAATTCCAGTTATACAAGCAAGCAAACAACCATACAAATAAAATATATTCAGTTTAAAAAGTAATAATCCCTGTAACATGAAGTTCCTCAGATTGTTGTGATAGGGAACAAAATGTCTCAGAAGGGGCTTAAGCATTTCTAAAAGGTTCAACATGGTAGTTAATGAATTCCTACAATTTGCTAACTTAGCACTGGGGAGTATATAGCAATATACAATATACCCTAAGTCTCAAACCCTCAAAGATACAAAGGACTGACAAACTCACCTTACAAACTGGTCTCGCCCACCTACTGCAAACTGGTGGGTATTGGCAGGATTCACATAGATTGTATACAGCCCCACTTTCTTCTCCTTCTCTTTTGTCACCACCAGTTTCCTTCAAAGAGGAGAAAAAGTATACAGTTATACTGTCCAAAAGACTAGATGGAGCTCAGCATGATAGGTAGCTCAGATCTGTAATCCCAGCACTTAAGAAAGAAAAGGACTGCCACCATGGCACTCAGAAGGCAGAGGCAGAAAACTCGTGATTTCTCAGCCAGGGCACAGCCATGACTTCCACCCTCAGCACCACATGCCTGGAAACCCCAGCCCTCAACAGACAGAGGCAAGATCAGGACTGAAGTCATCCTGAAGTCATCTAGAGGTAACTCTGATCAAACCATATTATATGTACTTGAACACGTGAAAATGAAGCCATCATTTTGTATAATATATGAGATAATAAAAAATATAAGCTGGAAAAAAATACAAGCTGGGACTAAAGAGATGGTTCAGTGGTTAAGAGCACTGTCTGCTCTTCCAGAGGACCTGAGTTTGATTATCCACATGGTGGCCTACCACTGTCTGTAATCCCAGTTCTAGGGGAGCAATGTCCTTTCTGACCTCTCCAGGCACTGCACTTACATGGTGAACAGACAGACATGCAGGCAAAAATACCCATACCCATAAATAATCAATTTAGAAAAATGAAGGTAAGGCAAGAGCATGTGACTGAGTGTATTGTACCTTGGTTAATGTGATAACAAACACCTGGAGATTCAGTGTGTGCTGCAAGAATCATAGCAACAGGGAGCTAAAAAGTTCTAGAGAATAAAGTCTATCTCCCAAGTTTTATGGGGAAAAAGTGACTGAAAACCTAGCTTTGGGATTAGAGAGAAGGACCAGCCAGTGAAGTGTTTGCTGTACTGAGTTAGAGCTAGAGCTCCCACACACAGAAAAGGCTGGACGTGAAGATGTGAGCCTCTAATGTCAGTGCTGGGGAGGCAGACAAAGAGTGGTCCCAAAGCTTGCCGGCCAGTGAGTCTTGCCAGACTGGTGAGCTCCAAGCTCATTGAGAGCACCTGACAAGATGGGAAGCTGGCAAGTGGCTGGATAGGGAGTTCCAGACTCAGGTCCCACAAGAGGACATGCCCTCTGACTGTCCTCTGATTTTCACATGCACAGCTTGACACAAATGTGTGTATACATAAATAAATAAACAAAGATAATTAAAAACTGGGTCCCAGCAAGATGGCTCAGTGGGTAAGGGCACTTGCGCCAAGCCTGACAACCTGAGTTCGATCCTCAGGACCCACATGGTGGAAGGAGAGAACCACCTCCCTCAAACTGATGTCTGAGCTGTGCATGAGTACTATGCATGTGCACACACATAAATGCAATTGTAAATTAAACAACAAACTAGGAGAGACTGGATTTGTGAAAATAGCTATGTATAAAACTGAAAATGCACTTCAAAGTTACTCTGGTTATAAACACAGAAGTATGATATTTCAGATGATGGTAATGTCGTGGGACCCTAAGAGAACCCCTTATTTACAAGAATTTAGCTAACCAGCCATAATTCACCCCACATTAAGAATAGTTCTACAGAACTTTTCCCAGATCTATTGTCAATTTATTAAACATGGTATCATGCAGATTACTAAACTTATAGTTAAGACATCAAGAAACTACTACTAAGAGGAACCTGCGCTGGAGAGACTGCCCAAATGGCAAAGAGAACTGGCTGCTCTTCTAGGGAACCTGAGTTCAATTCCCAGCAACCACCTGGCAGCTCACAAATGTCTCTAACTCCAGTTTCAGGGGATCTGACACTGTCACACAAACATGCAGGCAAAACACCAATGTGCATAAAATAAAATAAATGTATCATTTAAAAAAAAAGAGAGAAACTGCCAGGTGTTGGTGGCACACACCTTTAATCCCAGCACTCAGGAGGCAGAGGCAGGCCGGTTCCAGGACAGCCTCCAAAGCCACAGAGAAACCCTGTCTCAAAAAACCTAACTTAGAGAAACCTAACTTAGATTTTGTTTTTTATTTTAAGCTTTTATTCATTTTAGAATAATGGAAATGGAAACAAGAAAAAGACAGCCACCACAACAAATTTTTTTCGTAAAGAAATATTTAGCATTCTCTCTGCATGGTCAAAGTCGCTCTAGCCTAGAACTGTTCTGGACAGTGAGATTTTGATTCTAAAATCTATACAGCTTTCTATTAAAAGAATACAGATGCCAGGCCTGATGGAGTGCAAAGGTAGGATCATCAGGAATTCAAAGTCATCCTTGACTAAACTATGAGTCCTAGGCCAGCCTGGGCTATATGAGACATTATCTTTAAAAAGTATAGAGATCACTGAAAAGCAGTCACTATGAGGAAAAAGTCACATATACATGCACACACATACATGTAACCATATTCAAAAATACTAACAATGATTATCAATAGCTAGAAAAATGGGAAAAGATACATAAGAAGCATCTCTATTTTGTCTATGTGTTTTGATTATTTGAGTTTAAAAAAATTATTGTAAAACCAACAAAAATGCAGACAATGTATGTATATATGTATTTATGTACTATAGGACTTCTAGAAAAAAGAGATACAACCAAGGATCCTGAAGCTATGAACTAGTAATAACTGGATTGAGATTTGACTTGATCTGCCTGGATTTACAAAAGACATCTGTTTCTCCACCAGTGATGGCTCAGTGAGTAAAGGCACTTGATGTACAAGCCTGGTGACCTGAGGACAAGCCCTGGAATCCACATAAGGGTAGGAGGAGAGAGGGAAAGGGGACTTCCATGTACAGATTATGTATAATATAACAAAACTCTATTGTAGCATTGTAGGGAGACACCGTAACCATGCTTCCTAAGAGCTGGCTATAGGTGTGCTTAACCACGCCTGTCGGGGCGTGGTCAGGGGAGGCTCAGGATGACTTGTGGGGAGTTCTTTTTTATTTATTATGTATACAACATTCTGCTTCCATGTATATCTGCACACCAGAAGAGAGCACCAGATCTCATTACAGATGGTTGTGAGCCACCATGTGGTTGCTGGGAATTGAACTCAGGACCTCTGGAAGAGCAGTTGGTGCTCTTAACCTCTGAGCCATCCCTCCAGCCCAAGTGGAGAGTTCTTAAGGTGCGGCAGAGACATGGGAGCTCACTCTCAGGCCTCCCTAGCCTGCTGCCTCTGGGCACGCTCTGCCTTGTGCTGGGCTGGTATTATTAAGATATCTTAACCTACAACCTCTCAGTACATAGCATAAATCTTATTTTCAAGACTTACCCTTTATTTTCCTTATGTAATTTAACTGGACATTTACAAGACAATCTCTTAAGCTAGAGTGTAGAGTAATGTGCCTCTTCTGGTAAACTGAATGTGGATACTTAGGCGAATGGAGAACAGAAGATCACCAAATCACTAAAGCCTACCTGTAAAGAGCGAGCTTTCTCTGCAAGAGAGAGTTAGGCATTTCATTCACACGGGAAGTAAGGACCTCTGCAAAACCTAAAGCTATCTCTTATCATACACACGCTCAAGGCTACCATATTTTAGGGAACCTGAGAGTTTACCATGACATGTAGAGCATTTTCAAGGCCAAGGAATAGAGTTCAGCAAAGAAAACATGACTATGGGCTAAGAGATGGCTCAGAGGTTAAGAGTACATACTGCTTTGGCAGAGGACCAGAGTTTGGCTCCCAGCATCCTCATTGGGTGGCCCATAACCACCTGCAACGCTAGCTTCCGGGGATCTTTCTACAGGCCTCTGAACATCTATACTCATGTGTTCATACCCCCACACAGATACACACATACATAAAATTAAAACTAGATCATCACTTCAAGGCCTTTTGGCTAAGATCAAATATAAAAATAGAAAGCATCTGTGTGCCCTGACTCTCCTCCAACTCAGAGATCCACCTGCCTCTGCCTCCTGGGATTAAAGGCATGCCCCACCACCACCTGGTTAAAACTAAAACAAATCTTAAAAAAAAAAAAAAAAAAAAGGTTAAACTTACGAAGCTGGCCGGTCTTGTCTCAGGTCAATGGTGAAGACAACAGCATCTTCACCAGCTGACAGGAACGTACAAGGGGAGTCTGGTTCTAGGGCCAACTGTAGGAAAGAAAGGGAAAGGATGTAGTTTCTAAATATTAGAGGGAATATCTAGTTCACTCACTTACCTTTAAGAAGGGAAGTAATTAAAATGTCTTAGCAGGCCAGGCATGATAGGTATACACCTTTAATCCCAACTTGGGAGGCTGAGGCAGGAAGATATTTGTGAGTTCAAGGACAACCTGGTCTACATAGTGAAACTATGTCCAAAAAAAAAAAATCTTAGCAAATGAAATGTGCACCTTTTTTTGTTTGTTTGTTATAAAATCCTAAGAAGGGAAGAAGGGGCCTAGAGAAATGACTCAGATGTTAAGAGCACCGGCTGCTTTTACGAGGTCCTGAGTTCAATTCCCAGCAACCACATGGTGGTTCACAACCATATGTAATGAGATTTGGTGCCCTCTTCTGGCATGCAGGCATACATGCTGGCAGAACACTGAATACACAGTAAATCACACACACACAAAAAAAGTTCATTCTAAGCCAGGTATGGTGGCATGAACCTTTAGTCCCAGCATTACCTAGGGAGACAGGCAGGTTTGAGTTGGAGGCCAGCCTGGTTGACACAATGAGTTCCAGAACAGCCTCTCTACAGAGAAACCCTGTCTCAAAAAACAAAAAAGACTTCCTTCAGGCTGGAGGGATGGCTCTGTGGTTAAGAGCACTGGCTACTCTTCCAGAGGACCAAGGTTCAATTCCCAGCACCCACATGGCAGCTCACAACTGTCTGTAACTCCAGTTCCAGTGGATCTGATACCTTTACACCAATGCAAATAAAATAAAGTTAAATAAATTATTAAAAAAAAAAGACTCCATTCTAAAATAAAGTCCATTACATTTAGGCGTGCAGACAAATAGTATAGAAACTTCTTTCTTTTTCTATCTCTGTATCTTAACTCTAAAAATTAGTTACCTAGTAGGTGGGAACTAGACTTAAAAATCAAAGTGAGGGGGGAAAAAAAATCAAAGAAGTGGGTATTTTTCATATTCTTGAGCCTTCTGGTCTCCTAATTTCCTTAGGTTTTTGTAAGAGTATCATCCTTTTTTTGGCATGGAAAAAACGGTATCCACCAGAAACACTGTTTTTTAGGAACTTTTGGACAGCTGTTAACAAATTTGGCAGCCGAATGAAGTACGGCAGGTGAAGACAAAGAGAACACAAGGGAAAACGCTGGCTGAGAGCCACAGAGGATATGGAGTCAAAATCTTGGAACAAAGGGTCACTTACCTTGTGGGATGCTCCCTTGTGCTGGGCCACACGCTTTGTGTTCTTGCAGCACTGTGTAGCAGACAGTTCTGCTACACGGACCTGCCCGTCCCGGGCACACATAGCCAAGGTGGAATCACCACTGTTAGGAAGGAACTTGGCCTGGAGTAGCAAAAATGAAAAAGGGACACACAAAAGAATTAAAGAGGTAAATTTAAGAGAAAAAAATGTGTTGATGACCCCTTGTCAGCCTTTCCTTGTGCAGCTGGATGTAACTTTCCTATTCTTTGTACAGATAGCTTATCCCAAATCCTTTCAGAGGTAAAAGGAAGAGAAAGGAAGTCACTTCTGACATAAAAGTACATTCTGGATGGCTCTGGAAGGATGAACACTACATTACTAAGCACTGGTAAACTGCAATTGTGCCTTACAGAGGAAAAAAGCAAGTAATAAGCAAGAACAAATCTTCATTTACCAAACAAACATAAATTTGCCACGCTCGAAAGAAGGAAAAAGAACATGCTTATGGACGGAGTGGCTAGTACCAGTATGGACAATGGGACAATACAGAAAGGTCTAGTATCTCCATAGAATAATCATTATTAGCCAAATGTTATCAAATGTGATTAAATATCAGCCATGAATCTAAGTGCTCAGCTCCCCTTCTTTTCTTTTTCTTGAGGATGGAAAAAAGAACTCAGAGTCTTAGCAAGTGCCCTACTACTGAGTTACGCTCCAAGTCCATGCACTGTTACTTAGTGCTGATAAAATGAGTTACAAGTCCTATTTCAAAGACACATAAACTCCAATCACAGCTCACTACTAGCTTCTGTTCTTGACAGCAACTCAATATGGTCTACCCTCACACTTCATTTTCTCAAGTTGCTGTGGTGTCTCTCTGCCTTACCTGGAAGACATTACTTTTGTGGCCACTCTCAAAGTCCAGTACTGGTTGCCGCCTCACCCAATCCCACACCACCACCTTCAGGTCATCACTGCCACTGGCCAGCCAGGTGCCACGCTGGTTAAAGTGCAAGGTATTGACACAACCGGTATGGCCCTCAAGCCCATGTTGCAGGCGGAAACGCTGTACAAAGACTCTTGCCCCACAAGCCTCATACACAAAACGGGCACTTGAACCCAGCTCCCGCTCCCGAAGAGCAGGAAGGGCTTTCCAGCGAGGTCGGGGCAAAGCTGTTGTCTCTGAGGATACCCAGTCTTCCAGGGCTCGCTCATCATCTGAGGAGTCCTGATCACGGCTGGCCCGTTTGCGCTGTACTCGGTGCAGAGGCTGCTCCTCTTCCTCTTCCTCTGAGTGGTCATGGACTCGGTTGTCATCATTGATGGAATAATGACCAGTGTCCTCCATGCTATCAGAGTCCTTTTCTTCACCTGAGCTCTCTGTGTCTGTGCCTCGACTTTCTGTGCTGGTGCGGTTGGGGCCACCATCATCCCCAGTCAAGCTCAAACTCAGGTCTGAGGCCTCTACTTCAATCCCTGAGGATGTTTCCCTCCCCTCTTCAGCTCCAGACATCTCTTCTGGACTGCTAGACAGGCTTCCTAGACATTAATGGAGAGATACAAAGGAAAAATAATCAGGACAGGGATCAGAAAGACTTTGAGGCACTGTATGTACTTCAGACACCACAGGCACATGGTGTAATGACAGCAGGCAAAACATCCATACACATAAAAGACAATAACCACCCTCCCTCCTTTAAAAAATATACCAACAGCCAGGCATGGTAGCATATATCTTTAATTCCAGCACTTGGGATGCACAGGCAGATGGATCTCTTATGAGTTTGAGGCCAGCCTGATCTACATAGTGAGCTCCAGGTCAGGCAAGAGTACATAGTGAGACCCTGACTCAGAACAACAACAAAACAAAATGCAAATAAACCACTAATACTTTGTAACCTGTCTACTAACTACAACAGTGCTCAGGGGTGAATGGTGGCATGACTGTCCAGGGAAAACCAACTGCTTTCTGAGATTGCTTAGAAGGGCATTCTCCATAGGAGAGAATTCATAACTAGGAAGCTTAGTCAAAAGCTCATGGCTAGACAAGTTCATTGGCGGTAGGAGGAAACTTATTGTTGTCTTGCTGAAAAGTGGACATGTCAAACTGCCTTCTAAATATCATAGATATGTGCTCCTTTTTTTCAGCGAACAGTCATTAATACAGAGACTTGTTGCTGGCCAAAGTGCTAAGAATAAATGGCTATTTAGTGCTCAATCATAAATAAGACATTTATAGCAACTACCAAGGCTCAGGAATATCACAAAAGAAGGGGCAGGAAGAATGCAAGAACTGGAGAATGGGGAAGAGTGTTGAAAATGGTTGTCTTTTGCACATGACATAACACTGCACTCATGAACTCACAGCAGCTGTGGTTCCCTGCGCATGCCCTGTCAAACAAGTCAGTCAGCACTCCAGCATAGACAGGGGGGACTCATGAAGCCCTACCCCTGGCTAAGGAGCTATTGGCAACTGATGGTTGCTAGGTTCTTCATGGGTATGGCAACTGGTAGATTCCCCATGCTCCTGTGGATGGTCTCACAACCATGTGACTGCTGGAAGCAAAGTAAATTTAATGGGTTATTAAAAAAAAAAAAAAAAAAAAAGACAATGACAGCATGAAGGTTCGAGGAGAACATAGGAGAGAAAGTGTTGAGAGGAAATGGGGAAAATGGGGTGGATATGATCATGTTAAAGAGTAAAATTTCTGGCCAGGTGGTGACGATGGTGATGCACACCTTTAATCCCAGCACTTGGGAGGCAGAGGTCAGCCTGGTCTACAGAGTTCCAGGATAGTAGAGCTACACAGAGAAACCCTGTCTCAAAACAAAATGTGTACACACACACACACAGAATAAATCTTAAAAACAGTGGGCCAGGTGGTGGCCATACACATCTTTAATCATAGCACTTAGGAGGCACAGACATTCGTGCCTGTAATGCTAACACTTGAGAAGCTGAGACAGAATCTTCATGAGTTTGAGGCCAGTGTGGGCTATGTAATGAGACCATATCTAAAACCAAGGTAACTAACTGAAGTTAAAATACATTTGCTAGAAAGGGGCAAGTGAAAACCTGTGGTAAGTAATCATAATGACCAACTTTAAATCCTTCTACTTTAAGATTGGCTAGCACTATAGCTCAGTGGATAAAGTTGTTTGCTACCTGATTGATGACTGAGTTTGATCCAGGAACCCACATGATGGAAGGAGGAAACTCATTCCTCCAAGTTGTCTTTTCATGGCCACATGTTCATTGTGGCACCCCCCCACCCCATAAATTAATGTCATAGTAATAAAAAGTCCTTATGGGAGAAAGTTAGCACTTATGCAGCAGGAGGTAGGTGCTTCTGTGATTTGGGAAATGACATAAGCCAGTGTGCATTTTTTCAGTTACCATTTTCCCATAAGATGGCTGTCAGTCTACAAGAGCTAGTTCCAGGACAGCCTCAAAAGCCACAGGGAAACCTTGCCTCGAAAACCCAAAAGAGAGAAAGAAAAAGTTTTGTTTGAAGTAATAAGAGAAGTTGAACAACACAGAAGCATCTCGCCAAACTTCCTAATAGTAGGAAAACTGGGGGGGGGGGGGGGGGGGGGGGGGGGACCCACAGAAATCTGAACTTAGGAAGCAGATCTGCTGAGAATTACATATGCTGATTAAGTATGTGTTTAAATGCAGTTGGGCTTAAGTTTAGGATTGGCAAGAATGGATAAAAGCACACCTAGAGCTGAGGTACAGCTCAATGGTAGAGTACCTATTTGGTGTAGACAAGGTTCTGGGTTAGATGCCTGGTACTATATCCCTGCACACAACACCAAACAGAGCCCTAGATGCAAGGAAAAATAAGACCCCCCCCCCAAAAAAAAAAAAAAAAAAAAAAAAAAAACAAAACAAAAAAAACTCTTGGAATTTACTGTTAAAACTATGATTAACAAGGGCTAGCAAAATGGTCGAGCAGGTAAAAGTACTTGTCACTAAGACCTCCAGAACCCACAGGGCAGGAGGAAACCTCAAAACCTGATTCTACCAAAGTATCATGGCACACGAACACTAAATAAATGGATTATAAGATTTAAAAAGTTGTGAATATCAAATTCAGACTGTGAAAGTGGGAGCACACTAATATAAGAGAGAGAGTATACCATGTGCTTGAAGAAGGGGCTTAGTAGTCATTGACCAAGATCTACCTTAGAATCTGGAATTTTTTCCTGTACAGACCCAGATGGTCTAAGTTACAGAAGATCTTTTATCATTTCCTTAATTACTGAATCTCACTTGCACAAAAGCAACTCATAAAGGGGCACAAGTGTGTTTGGTGAACTCTTTTTTCTGTGTGTGGTGTGTGCATGTTCGTGAGGGGAGGGGCACACAGCAGAGGTCTAAGGTTGACATGAGGAGCCTTGCTCAATAACTTTCTACCTTACTGCAACAGTCTTGTCAACTGAACCCAGAGTTAATCTAGCTGGGTAGCTTGTTTCGGGACCTCTCCTGTCTCTACTTTGTAAGCATTGGAATTACACACACACACACACACACACACACACACACACACACACACAGAGAGAGAGAGAGAGAGAGAGAGAGAGAGAGAGACAGAGAGACAGAGAGAGACAGAGACAGAGACAGACAGACAGACAGACAGACAGACAGACAGAGACAGAGAGAGAAACATTAATACCTAAAATTTCTCTAGAATCCTGTCCCTTTTAACTAATCCCAATGTAAAGGGAGAGAAGGAAGACCTGATTCTGGATAGCTTTGGTTTTAACTTCTCTCTCTGCCTCTCTCCCTCCTTTTGGCACTGGGGACCAAACAAAGGGTCTCATGCATTCTATCACTGAGGCACACTCCCATACCAGTAACTTGATTTCTTATCACTTTGAAACTATTATTTACCACAGAAAGAGACCTCTCAATGAAAAGTCTCCCCCAACTCCCTCCACCTTACTTTTCCTCTTAAGTAGTATTTATAAGTATACTTTGGAATTTACTGTTAAAACTATGATTATGGTATAATCAGGCTTTCAAAAGGTCAATGTATCTCTGGGGCTAGAGAGATGGCTGCTCTTTCAGAGGACCCTGATTCAATGCCAGCATCCACATAGTGGCTCACAACTGTCTGTAACTCCAGTTCCAAAGGATCTAACACCCTCTTCTGGCCTGGGCAGGCACCAGACACAAAAGTAGTGCACAGACATACATGCAGGCAAAATAACCATACACAACACAAAAAATTAAAAAAGAAAGAAGCATCTCTGTATTGATCTTCTGAAAACAACAGATAAAATCTGAAAGACCTAAAGTAACAGGCAATCCAAGATGACTGCTGTGTGCTTTCCCATACTCAACACACAAAGGGCTCCTTTGTCCCACTAAATCCAGGTCTCCTCTCTCCCTTAGCAAAGAAGGGGAGAGAGACCTCAACTGACGGTAAAGAGAGTTTCACCTTTGGTCCCTTACCATTAGCTAAATCTGTTCTGCCATCTGTGCTGCTCCCTTTGCTGGACATCTTGAAAATGGTATTTGCTGTATCCAGCCTAGATTTGGGAAGAAATAAAATAATTAGAAAAGCCCCGGGAAAGACAATAAAACAGACAAGGACATTTAATGATTCATTAGGTTTTACCATAAGCACTAATCTTTTATGTGGGTACACTTAATATTACTATTCAGTTGCTAAACTCCCCTCCCCGCTTCCCTGGATGTAATTCCATAAAGACACATACTTGGGGGTGGGGGTGTTAACTGCCAACTCTTTACCTTCTTTCTTGAGTAGCTGATAGTGTTTTTTATTTTTCCACATGGGAAAGAAGGAACTGAGATAAAACTTGAAACAGCAGGCACAAATCTAGTAACAAGTTGCTGGTTAAGAACCTCAACTCAACACAAGAAGACTACCTTCAGCACTGCCCTCTGAGCAAGTGCTACTGTTAAGTAGCACTCATTTCCACAAACTCTGTGAAGCATTTGTTTCTGCAAAATCAAGATTCTGAATCTCAGAAATCAAGCTCAGAAAGGAACCTAACCTTTGGTCATTCAAAGACAAATAAGATTATAAGCAGGCAGGCTGGCACACCCCTTTGATCCCAGCTATTGGGAGGCAGAGGCAAGCGGATCTCTGTGAGTGCCAGATTGGCCATACAAAGGTATGTAAAAGAGAATTTCTACTAAACCATCTTAGCTCATTTTACATAATGGCAAACATTACTTCAAGGGCTGGAGAAATGACTCAGAGGTTAAGAGCACTGACTGATCTTCCAGAAGTCCTGAGTTCAATTCCCAGCAACCACATGGTGGCTCACAACCATCCGTTATGAGATCAGGTGCACTCTTCTGGTGTGCAGATATACATGGAAGCAGAATGTTGTATGCATAATAAATAAATAAAATCTTTAAAAAAAAAAAAAACCCTAACTAGAACTAGGGAATGTATCTTTTTGTTTTGTTTTTTGTTTTTGTTTTTGGTTTTGGTTTTGGTTTTGGAGACAGGGTTTCTCTGTGGCTTTGGAGGCTGTGCTGGAACTAGCTCTTGTAGACCAGGCTGGTCTCAAACTCACAGAGATCCACCTGCCTCTACATCCCGAGTGCTGGAATTAAAGGCATGCGCCACCAACACCCGGAATCTTTAATGCTTCTATAACACTCCTACCCATCTCCAGGGCCTTACTGCCACCTCCTACAAATTCCAAATAGCAAAGAATAATATTGTTCAGGCCAGAGTTTTGTTTAGCCCTTTCAGTGTCTTGAACAAAAGGCAGTGGTAAAAGACAAAGTATGATTATGACCTAAGACTGAGTACCCAGGCACCGTCCTCCAATCTTTCAAGAGCCCTTTCATTCCCCTAACAATTATCCTAGAAGCCCATCCTTATCCTCACTCTCTACTTCTCTCCTTTTCAGAAACCTATGCTGTTTCATAAAAACTGTCCTCTGCAGAGGCAGCTGCCCAAAGAATGCTTGCTGCAGGCCACAGTAGAAAAGTAGAAATACTGCAAACAAACAAAAACAAAACAAGCAAAACACCAGGACTGAATCTGAGAAAACATCTATAAGATCAGCGATAAAAGACAGTGCCAACAAGATGTGAACAGCCATATACAAGCTATTTCCAGAGCAGATTACTTCTCACTTTTGTTTCATTTTGAGACAGGATCTCACTCTGTACCTCAGGCTGGAGACCTTTCTGTCTCAGATTCCCCAGAGCTAGGATCACAACTGTGAGCCACCACAGCTGGCTTCTTTCCCCCCTTTGATGTGTACATAATTTTAAACAAAGGTTTGCGAATGAGCTTTCTGTATGTATGTGGTGCACTAGTGTCTGAGAAGATCAGAAGATGGTGTTGGATCCCCTGAAACTGGAGCTATGGATAGTTTGTGAGCCACCAGGCAGGAGCTGAGAAATGAGTCCAGGTCTTCTCCAAGTCAAGTAAGTGTTCTTAACCTCTCCCATCCCATTTGGATGTATTCTGGTAAATACAGCACTTGGTTCTGTCTCCATTAGTTACTATTTATATCCTTTAACATCTCAGTAATCTCCCCAACCCCGAATCAACAGGTTTAAAATTAATTACATTATTGTAAAAGTCTTGTGAAATAAGTGAAGTTTTTTTATTACTGATAAGGCCTGCCACATATCATGGTAAATTAGAAGTAGCTGATATATTCTTCCATTTCTGGAATTAAACTATCTACCACATCACAGCCTCACCCCGCCATTATTCACTTCCAGAGGATAAAGCAGCAGCTCCCTAAAACCTTTCTCATAACTAAAGAGCATCTTCTCCGGGAGGCTGGGAATGTATGAACTTGTCATATTGCTTTAGAAAAGACTTGGCCAGCCTCTATGACCTACCCTGAGAAGTGGAGAAAAGGAAGACACGATGTTCATCTCATATCCAGAGTTCATAGGATAGTCTTTTGGGAGAGAAAATGGTTTAAGGTTCTTTCAAAATGGTTTCTTCTTTGAGTTGAAGTTGACAGATTAGTAAATCAGAAACATAAAACCCTGTGAACGCTTATACAAACCACAGCAAACAGTTGGTTTCTAAAGATAAAAGTTTAGCAAAATCAGTCCCAGACTAAAAAGTAGCAGTTCCAGATTCCAGCGAATGAGAAAAGCTGTTCATAAACTGTACCGTGATGAGTCCATAAGCTTCACTAGACTTTCTTTCATCTATAAATAACAGACAGAAAGCTGGACATGGCCTATAGTCCCAGTGCTTAAGAAGTGAAGGCAGGCCTGTGAGTTCAAGGTTATCCTCAGACACATAGCAAGTTCAAAGTTGGTGTGGGCTATATGGGAGCCTGGCCTCAAAAACAACAAAACAAAACAAAAAAGACTGCATGCCCCTAGTCTCCTAGTCTAAGTATCCAAATGCCCCCAAATTGTGAAACTTTCTGAGAATTAACATGATCCTCAATTAGTTTAAATTTTTAAAGCATTTCAGATGTTCATATTATTTGTATGCAAACATTCCCAAATCTGGGCTTAAAGTATGGTTTAATAGTGCTTGGCCAGCACACATGAGGCCCTGGGTGGGCTCAATGCCCAACACTGCAACAACAACAAATGCTAATCTGAAAAGCTGAAATGTAAAATAATTCTGATCCTCCACACTTTATGGAAGGAAGGAATATTCAACCTGAAACTATTCCAGATGTTATACACTAATAAAATTTTATGTTAAAACCTATGCAGAAAGGAACAGTGATCAAAATTTTATTAACTTTGGATATCTACCAATATATATGTATACATATACAATCAGACTGCATTAAATATTAAGGTTTATTAATATTATTATAATATTATTATTAATATTATCATTAATTATTATTAATATTATTATTTATTAATATTATTGAATATTAAACATGGAAGCACACCTTGGTAATCCCAGCACTTGAGAGGCTGAGGCAAGAGAATTGCCAAGAGTTAGAGGTCAACCTGGACTACATACAGATTAACAGCCCGCCAAAGCTACATAATATGACCAACCCTATCTTACAAAATGGGGGGCTGGAAAGATGGCTCAGAGCTCAAGAGCACTTGCTGTTCTTTCAGAGGACTCAGGTTCAGTTCCCACAGGGCAGGTCACAATCATCTGTAACTCTAGTTCTAAGGAACAGGGTGCCCTCTTCTGGCCTCCACAGGCATCAAGTATGCATTTGGTGCAAAGGGCAGGAAAAACACCCATTCACACAATAATAAAATAAAAATAATCTTTAAAAATTGTAAAATAGGGCTAGCAAGATAGCTCAGTAGTAATGTACCTGACCTGGCACCAAGCCTGCAAATCTGAATTTGATTCCCGGGATTAACATGGAAGGAAAAAGGACTCCAACAAATTGTCCTCAGACTTCCATACATGCACCATGGCACATACACAAAATAAAAAAAAAAAAATGTAATAATTTTTAAAAGGCACGTAATTTTTTCTAGACTATATGCCAAATAAATACTCAACATTCTTTTTCTATACACCACTGGATCATCTTACATATCCTTTAACGATATTATAAATTCCCATTTGGGGAACCATTTCTCTAAAAAAAAAAAAAAAAGAAGTTATGGAGTCGTGGGTAAAAAAAAAGTGCTTGCCACATAAGTGTTTTAAGGATGATTTCAAATCCTCAGGCGCCACAGAAAAATCAAGATATGGTAAGCTCACATCTGTCACAACAGTGTTCCTATGAAAGATGGGAGCTAGAATTCCCAGAAACTTGCAGTGTAGTTAGCGTAGTATACACAGGTGCAAACAACCCTACCACAAACAAGGTGAAAAGTGAGGAAAGAAAGCCACATGAGGTTGTCTCTGCCCCTGACAGGCATGCTATGGCATACTTGTATACACACACACACACACACACACACACACACACACACAATGACAATAACAACTACACTTGAGAGAAGCTATAATTCTAAGTTTCGTTCAAAATTAAATACAACCAATTCAATTCTAGTGCAGAAACTATAGTAACCACTGGCTATAACCTGCAATGTGATAGCATTTAAAGATGGAGTCTTTCAGATACAATCAGGGTTAGCTGAGGTCATAAAAACGGATAGCCCCATGACAGGATTAACAAACTTTGTGAGAGACAGTTATTTCTCCCTTTCTCTCTAGCATGGGAAGGCACAGTGAGGAGGCAGATAGATTTCTATAAGCTGAAAGACATCCATGATCTCTTAGATTTTACCCTCTAGAATGATAAGAAAATTAAGTTCTGCTGTCTAAGCCACCAGTCATTGGCATTTTGTTCTAGCAGCCTTAGTCCAAACTAAGGCAAGCCAAGACACTCTAACTGTGCCCTACAACTTTAATACCATAGCCACTGCAGAATCTCTTCCACTGATCAACAAGATAAATACATTTTGATTCAGGCACTAAGCATCTTTTCCATTTTCAATGCATTATGTACCCCAAAACTCCATTGTTTCCACTCTGGCCAATCAATATGTAAAATATGGTCGAACGAACCATGCTGAGTTGGAAGAGCTGAGGTCACTGTCTCAGGTAGCTGGAGTTTAGATT